TGCTTGTGCCTGTTGCCCCTCGTCCTGTCACTGGGAACTACTGAAAAGAGTCTGGCTCCATTCTCCTTGCACCCTCCCTTTAGATGCTTATCGGCATTAATAAGGTCTCTCCTCCAGAGTAGAGTCCCAGCTCCCTGAGCCTTTCCTCATAACAATCAATCCCCCAGTCATCTCCGATGCCCTTGCTGGACTCTCTCTAGTAGTTCCCTGTCTCTCATGAACTGGGGAGCCCAGAACTGGATGCAGTATTCCAGAGGTGGCCTCACTGGGGCAGAGTAGAGGGGGAGAACGGCCTCCTTTGACCTACTGGTCACACTCTTCCTTATGCAACCCAGGATTCCATTGGCTCATGGATATCTACCACAACACCCAGATCCTTCTTCTCAGAACTGCTTTCTGCCAGGTCCACACATCCCAGGTGCATGGCATTCTTCCTCCCCAAGTGCAGGACCCTACACTTGCCCCTGTTGAACTCCATTAGGTTCTTCTCTGCCCAGCTCTCCAGCCTGTTCAGGTCACACTGGATAGCCACACAGCCCTCTGGAGTGTCAGCCACCCCTCCTAGTTTGGTATCACTAGCAAACTTCCTGAGGATACACTCTGTCCCCTCATCCAGGTCGTTGATTAATACATTAAACAAGACCAGACCGAGTACTGATCCCTGGGGGACACCACTGGTTACAGGCCTCCAACTCAACCCTGCTCTATTGATCACCATTCTCTGAGCTCTGTCACACAGCCAGTTCTCAATCCCCCTCACTGCCCACTCATCTTGCCCACACCCCCTCACTTTCTTAATGAGGATGTTATCAGTGTCAATCCACTTCACTTAAAATCAAAATTGTATGATAAACTTAGCATTAACATAAAGTTTTAATTCTTATATACTTTGCAAAGTGTTTGAAAGTTTTGAAGCATCATCTCCAAAAACAAGGAGATAGACACAACCAAGTATGCATTCTATTTTATACGTGTGTGATGTATAAGTCTAATATATAAAAAACTCAAAATGAACAGGTAATATTAATGAGAACAAAAATACGCTCATACCTCAGGATTAGGAGGGAAGAAACTAGTCCAAAATCTCAAATTTACTTTTTTTTTTTTTATCTTAACTGCTCTTAAGAGTCTTATCCTTGTAATTTGAAGCTTTATAATTTAAATGTGATGTTTGCACAGGTACTCAAATGAAAAATTCCCAAAACATCAACAGTTACAGAAATAAATGAAACATCATTTAATAACATCAATGATTGTACTCAGGTTACCAGGCCATTTAATCCCTGCTAGGTATTACTGCATGACTTAGAGAAGTTTCTTTTAATTATTATGTATTCATCTGCCAAAGTTTTCTTCAGTATAAGCTTCCTCTCTTATCTTTCTAAAACATCATTTAAACAGGGAGTCTTATCTGACCTGCTTTTTTTTACACACAAAAATATTATTCAAAATGCAATTATAGTGCCAAGTTGATTCGTTTTAATCATGACTTTTTGCAACAGGAATATTGCTAAACAAAATAAGTACATCTAAATCACTTTTTCAATACAAATTTTGAAGACACTAAAAAAATAGGTGGAATAGAAACAAAGGATTCCAAAAGAACACACTTTTGGTGCTTTCAAAACAACTATAGATTTGTTAAGTTAGAACAACAGATGTTAGTTGCCAAAGTAAAAAAAGACTATTGCAAAAAGAAGAATCACACCACATCAACTATTTTAGTCTTTAAAACTTCCAGAAAGGGTTGACAATGGAAAAAAAAAGTGCATAACCACAATGAGAATTTTCCAGCACCAACACAGTACTACTTCAAATGTGACTGTGTGGTAAATCAAAGAAATAGCAGAGGAAAAGTATGATCCAGTTCTTAGTGAATCATCAGAAACATTTGTCTGTAGATAGACCAAATGTCATAAGTCTTATCAGATGATCTTCCAAAGAATTAAGTTCTACTCAGAGCACTAGAAGCCAGATGCTATTTTCCTTTCTCAAATTAAATGTTCTCTCTCTGATTTGCAAATAAAAGAACATCACCTACTAAACAGGAGCATTCATTTCACTATAGATGGTTTTTCATTGTATCACAAATTGGGGTTTGGTGTATTTTGAAGGCAGCATTTATTCATTTCTGCAACACATCAAAATGGGACAGCAGCAAAATTTCAGATAAACAGGATTAAAATGGCCAATAATTCTACATTATAGCCAAAATCATGCACTATTTACTAGCACTACATGTCTTGAAAACATGCAGCACCTCACATTTACAGAAGAGCTGAAGTGTTAAAGGTTGGGATGAATATATGACTGTGATCAAAAAAATGAAAAAAAATACAAACAAAAAAGATAAAAATAAGACATATATTTGCACTTGCTTCCTTCTTGTCTAAATAAGCAAGGTATTAAAAGGCTAAGACTGCATTTATGCAACTTTGTGGTTGCAACACTGCACACAAGTAATGAAAAGTAAAATTACACTTCCCACAGTAGTTACAGGTACATTTTGTATGCACATAAGTTAGAATTACAGTGTATAATCCTTAATTACTACAAACCCTGAAATGGAAATCATAACTCTAATTTTAACAGAATTTAAGAATTCAAAGAAATTGCTGTTAACTTTATAATTTTATGTATAAACCCACTGCTGCCCTTTTAACGTATCTGGTTGTTTTAGTAACATGGGAAAAACATTAAGAACGTGGAAATACTACACACTCTATTAAAACTTGATTTTTAAAGCCAATTTTATTCAGACCAACCACAGAATTTCTCACTTTATTCTTTTACACAAGTATAAAAGTGGCAACACACCGTTGTCATCCATTACTTAAATGCTAACACTATACCAAAGATTTGGAATCCTGCCCCTCCTGATCAGGAACAGTGATTATCCTGCCCCTTCAATTCTTCCATTTTCAGTATTACCCAATTAAGTATAAGGCTTTTTTTCATACCTATGATAAAGAAAGTCTGAGTCTAGTTCAGAACACAATTCACTTCATCAGCATGCTAAACCAACCCACAGAAAATACCTGTAATATGCTTTATGTACCTACCCTGTCTTCAAAATATGCTTTTAATATGAAAAACCTGAAAACATCTTTTGAAACAATTTCATGAGAACAAAACAGTGGTAACATAACTGCCACCCTTGACTGAGGCAGAAATCAATAGAAAATGATAGAAAATAAAAATAGTTACTGGCTTAGTTGGCAAAGATTAATGAAATCTTCACTCAGAGCTAAGCACAGTAACTTAAAACCAACAATAACAGCAACAAAGTCTAATCTAAATATCACCTAGTAAAAGATTTGACTAAATGACTGGCTCTATCACCTCCAAACCAGTTTTTGAGAATTCCCTGTCACAAGTTCTGGAAGTTTATTAGTGAATATAAAAGTGTATAAAATACCACATGGTCATGTAAAAAGCAGTTAGAAACATCTCATGAGGCCTTTGTTTTACCTATTATACTCAGAGATTAACACAGAAATTTAATTTAAGAGGAATTTGCTCAATACACATGAATGTCAGAATCAGTTCAGTTGGAATAAGACTTCCAGATGAACCTGAGAGTTCCCAGAACTATGTCTGAGCCATCACTGTAGTCTGCTTTTAAGCTTTTCAAGTTAACAGCACTAATAACCAGCTGTTTCTGCTGGAAAATGAAATGCTAGTGAGATGGACATCTGTACAGTGTAGCTGCCAGACTCACTTTGTGTGTGGCCACAGGTGTTAACCCTGGTGTTGTAAGAGTCAAAAGAGAAAGACAAAAGGAACTGGCATTAAAAGCTGCACTAACAGAAGGCATCCGATATTCAAATTTCATGAAAGTAATTTTAACTGTCAGCTCTAAGAAGCATGGCACACTTTTCTTCTCTGATTTGATCTGGCTATATCCAGAAGACAACAAGAGGAAGTAACACAGGTTTCTCTACCAAGTGAAAATTTATGACCCTTTCATTGCCATTCCCGAAAACTGTAGTACCTGACTCAAACAGGTATGATACAGCAACATCAATACTTGCAAATCTCAGTCACATTTCCACTCCTTAAATACTTCTGCTCGAAGAGCGTTGTAAAAGTATTACAAAATAAAAACCACTAATTCTATTGTTAAGATTTTATAATGAACCTTTATTTTAGCCAGTATGATACTCCATAAATCAGAAAACAAACTTGTTTTTATAATACAGGTAGTATAACATCTACTTCCTTGAGTAGGATGTTACAAATATAAACAAGAAAAGAAACAGTATTAGATTATTATATTACCATAAATTCTACAAAAAACTGCAGCCAGGAATTAAATATAAATTATTACAGCAACTCTTGAGTACAAATCTGAAACAAAGAAGTAGGTACTTAAAAACCATCCACAGCAGAAATAAATAAATAAATAAATAAATAAATAAATCAGTGAAGCTGAATTACCAAGAAGAACCTTTTGAAATGTTATAAGTCTACAATAATTAGTTTCTCCTGCTACAACACTGGAAGAAAACTGAAAACTAAAATGAAAAACTTCTCTTCTATGTGAGGCTTCATACATGTATTTAATGAATGATGTTGCTTTTTGAAATTAAAGCAATTTTTATTCCAATGTCTAGTATCTCATTACACTTTACAGATTTTTATGCAACAAGAACTATTCCATATTCAAGTTAGCTAATGCTTTATAAAAATCACTGCCCATAGCTGCTCCAGAACATGCTAAGTCATACTGTTAAACACATCCCTGTGTCAAGTGTTTTTCTTTTTATTTGTTCTAAGTAGCAGATCATAATAAGCCTGAGAGATCTGAGGTAAAATAATGTACTTATGCAAATATGCTATTAAACCCACGTTCCCCACGAATGCCAGAGGGCAGGCTCTGATCTAAAGACCTTAGAAATTCTCTGAATTCAAAAGTTTTTGGAGCAGACCCATAGATACTTACTGAGTATTTGTTGGACATAAATAAAAAAAGAAAGATATTACATGAAAGAAATTACCTGGAGCTTCTTGTAATCATCCTTATGTGAAATTACTTCTTTTTTTTTTTCTTTCAAGAAATCCATTTCTAGAACACTATGTTTTTCCAGTAAACATTCTAATTCCTGTAAAGTTTACAAAATAAATTCTGTGAAGTTGCAAACTTTGGCAAATTCTGAAAATACAGATTCAATTATCATTCCAACTAATTTAATTTCTTAAGACTGTGACATATGCTGTAATAATATACAAAGAGCTGTGCAAGCAAACTCTGATTGCACTCCTTAAATTGAGATAATATTTTCAAAAAGTACAAAGTATTTAAAATCAAAGGCATTTCCTGGAAGTTATGTCCTATGAGGAGCCACTGAGGTCACCATGTCTAGTTTGGAGAAAAGAAAGTTGAAGGGTGTCCTCATTGCTCTTCCACAACTTCCTGAGGAGGGAAAGTGGAAAAAGAGATGCTGCTCTCTTCTCCTGGGACCCAGTCATAGGACATATGGGACTGGTTCAAAGCTGTTTGAGGGAAGGTTCAGACTTGACATTAGGAAACATTTATTTTCTGAGAGGGTGATCAAACACTGGAACCAGCTTCCATGAGAGGTGGTTGATGCCCCAAGCCTGTCAGTGTTTAAGAGGCACTTGGACAATGCCCTTCATAATTTGCTTTGACTTTTGGTCAGCCCTGAAGCACTCAAGCAGTTGGACCAGATGATTGTTGTAGGCCCTTTCCAACTGGAACTATTCTGTTTTAATTATTTCCATATTTTAATATCTTGTTCTGTCTTTCTACATTTGAAAAAAAAAAAAATTGCATATGAAATGTACTTTTGCAAAAGGTTTCACTAAACAGTCAGAAATACTATTACATACAGCCTCATTCATCTACCTACATCTCCAAAATGAATGCAATTTTTAAATATTCTGTGATCTTGCAGAGAGCCAGGATAGAAGCCCACCCAGCATGAACCACTAGAGAGGAAGGAGAATGACACTACTGACAATAAACTTCAAAATTATTTGCTATACAAAGAGCTAAGGATTTTTATTATTTCTTAATGCAGCTGTTTCTCCTACCAAACTCATTCCTACGATACATAAGCATTTGGCACCCTTTCAGTTGCTCAAGAACAACTATTTCTGCAGCCACGCAGGAAGCCAGCACAGAAACAAATGGCCTGCCAGATCACTGTACAGACATTCAAACAAAAGCACAACCAAGAGGGTCATGAGGAGGACAGAAAGAGTAGGTCTGCTCACTTCAATCCTGCTTCTCGACCCAGTATTAAAAACAGTTTTGAGATTCAAAGTCTTTGATTCAACTGTAAAGATGGAAACTGATTGTGCAACATTTCTTCACTTCAGAGCCTAGTTCTCAACCTATCTCCTCTTATAGTGTCTATACTTCCTTTTCAGCACTCTTCTACATACTTAACTTGTAGTAAAATCAATCCATCCCGCCTTTCCTCATCTTTGCCTCTACTTACTCTACTTTTCATTTCCAACATGTCATTTTTCTCCTTTCCTAGTACACTTTGACAGCTATCAAGGACCAGTATGAAGAATAGCAGAAATTAAATTCACTCTCCCATGCCTCGGTGACTTTTAGGTAACTCAGATACATAACTACAGGCATCGCCCTGTTCATTACTCTTATCATATTCAGGACAAAAGGAGTATCAAGAATTTAGCTAGCAGAGCTCCCAGAAAAGAAAAAAGAAAAAGTTCTATGTGATAGGGTCATAAAGACAGCCAAAGACACACTGAACTTCAGTGACCAATGCCTTCTAACAACATGGCTCCAAGCTAAAAAAACTTCTCTTTTTTTTTTTTTCATCTTTTTTTCTTTCCTCCTCTAGGTAAAAAAACAAACAAACAAAAAAAAACATTCCTGAAACTTTAGAAAAATTCAGCCTAAATAGACACCAAAAAAAGGCTAAATTCAACCAATTTATCTGGAATTTGGCTAATTTCTACAAAAATGCATTGCAAATCTCTGCCAGCTCCATCTCTGTTTAAATCCTATATAAATGCCAAGTATTTTAATTTTAAAAGCTATTCATACCTTTTTAATATTTAATTTTTCTTCTTCGGCAGTTGAAAGCTTGATTTCTAGGTTTGCAACAGCTTGTTGAAGGTAGCTCTTTGGTTCATTTGCTTTCTGTGTCTCAGCATCAACCAAAGCAATGTTTGATGTAACCAAGGTTTTGTCTTCTGTCACATTCAAAGAGGCAACCGGAATATCTGACTGAATCTAATTCATGCAAGAAACGAAACGGCAAAGGACATTTAAGATTCCAGTCGTGTCATTTTTCATTTTCAGATGACATTACAGAAATAAAGAACTGTAAATACTCGGGTTACATTTTTGAAACCACACTACTTTGAAATTGGCCACTCACATTTTCATATGTAGGATGTGCTGGCCAAAAAGAAAGCTCAACAATGGAACAGTAGTAATTCTAGATGGATTCACATAAATCCTTCCATCTCCCCAGCTGCTTTTCAAGAATACTTTAGGAGAAGGCTTTATTAAGGAGGATGCCACAGTTACCTCCACTGCCAATGGGGCCAAATACTCAAAAGCAGTGAAAAGAGACAGAAATGAAATGTTACTTCAGTGAACTGCAGAAGTACAAAAACTGAAAAAGTGGCTTCTACAATACACAATCCAAAACAGATGAAACACTAAGAATCCTGTATTTTCAGAAAAGCACAAAAATAAATTAGGTGAGATTTAAAATATTTTCTAGTACAATTAACAAAAGCAAAGGGTTTTTTTCCCCATCTTTAAAAGAAAACAAAAAGGCAAAATTCTTGTTTATAATGCAGCAAAGAAACTTCAAAGGAAAAAGCTAGTAAATTTATTTCAGCTGCCACGTCTTAAAAAAATCAAGTCAAAAAGCACTTAAGATTTGGGGAGGGGTGGTGAAAGGAGCATCTCAATATGGCTATTAAGAGAGGTTTGGCTGCTCTGATTCAAGCCATTCCCTTAACACCAAAATTCAGGACACAAATAATATACTGAGTTTCAATAAATATCTCTCAAAGGATTCAAAGAAAGAAGCAGGGAAAAAAAAAAAAAAAAAAAGCTGATATCTTGACTGTACACACATAAGATTCAATAAACAAAACATACAGAAAGAAAACTTCTGTTTGTACTCTGAACTCCCCTTCTGTAAGAAGTAAAGAGATGCTAGATGTGCTAATTCTACTTCTGAGTACTACTCAGGATTAGAGTCTGACCCTGCCAAAAATTGTGATGTTGGAACCTGAAATGTTGAATAACATGAAACATCAAGAGGCTCTGAAGACACTATTACAGAAGAACAGATTTCTCCTAACATCTTCCTCTAACAGGTGTAAGAATTTTTTACTATAGTTTTATGCCAACCATTTTCCTTTAGCATTATCCAAAAGTGCAAAGTATGATCTTCATTTCAAAGGTCCTCCTCTCAACTCCCTTTCTGCCTTTACTAACACTTGCTGATGTTGTATTCTTTAGTTTGTACTATTTCCTGCACTAAAACGAGTTTAGGGAACCACAGGTCTTCCAGTAGCTGACCAGCACAATATGAGAAAGACTGAAACGTGGCCTACAACTAGAATTATTCAGAAGTACCAAAGTCTATTTCTTTTTTTTAATAAGATTACCTAACCAAATGACTCTTTAGTTTTAATAAATACACCTCAGCCCTAGTATTCTGGAATATCCAAAGTGTATTTTCCAGGAAACAAACAAGCTAAAGCTGCTGGCCTAGTTCAAAGAAGAAAAGATACAGGTTATTGACATTCCACAGTTAGTCAAAATCAAAAAGGGTAGGATCTGTTGCAGCTGAAGGAAACCGTATTTTGGTTACCCTGACAGTTACAGAAATTTACTTAGCTAAACACTGTCCAAAAGGAAGATGAAGAGCTTTCAATATAGAAAACAAACCTGGCTGACATCAGCCAAAAAAGAAAACACTCTCCCCTCACAATAAAAAACTCCACAACTTTTGGATTTCTAAGAAAATATTTTTGGCACCATTTGCATCTGGGCACATCTCCTCCTTACTTTTTAATAGGCTTTCCCCAGGACACAGTTTTAAAGGCACAGGAGCAGGCCATCTGCCTGTGCCAAAAGATGAGCCAGCAGGGAAGAAGGCTGGCCTGGCTGAATAGAAAGATCTAGTTGCAACTCATGTCAAAAAGGAGAGTTAATGGCCTTTGGAAAAGCAGCAGGCCAAACCAACCAACCAACACAAAAAAAAAAAACGCCAAACAAAACAAAACCAAAAAATTCCACCAAACCTGAGAAGTAATGCAGGGGAAAAAATAAATACAATCAAATATAAAACTAAATTAATTTAATTGTAATTAAGTCAATATTAAAAAGTTAGTTCTCTATTCCTAAAACCACTTGAGAAAACATACAAGTAAGACATACAGGCACAGCTGTAATCTTTACAGTTTAACACTATTTTCTTTAGAGAACATTCCTACTGTTTCCTACTTTCATGCCCAGAACTATCAGCATGCCTTTAACTATTAATAACTCCTTAACACAATAATCTCTCTTGCAGTTTGTATCAAAGTAGAATGGTGATTGCCAGTTATAGGTTTTAAACATAATTTTTAAATTATTTTACTTCAAAGTCTGTATCACAGAAATCCAAGGACCTTTTGCTTTTAAAAGGCCATTCAATCTAAATTTGCACAGAAAAGACAGAATGCTAAGATATTTTAAACTTGCTGTTCCCATACTGAAACACAGAAATAGTGGGTTTACCTGTTCCTCCAGGACAGTTGGGTTTATAACATTGTTGGCTGTTTCAGTCAGTGCAGACAGATCCAAACCAAAGTCTCATCAGGGATTTGGCAGGAAGAAGGCACAGAGTGCTCAAGAAGAACATCAGGAGATACATGGACTTCAGATACTAATGCAGAAAATAAAAACAGGAAATACACACAATATGAATGAACATTCAAAAAATAATTCTGTTTTTGAAATGTATACTTAGCAAAACTGGTCACACTAGCAGTAAGTACAGTCATATAAGCTTATGTACCTCGTACCATCTAATTGCACTGAAGAGTAATTCCACACACAGTTCCTGTACTTTTGAATACCATCAACTTAAGGACATTCAAAATTGTACAGTCACACTAAATTTAGACTTGTAACTTAAACAGAGATTTGACAACTGCCACCAAAAGCAGCAGTTTTCAACTTTTTTCTCTTTTCATTCACTTAAATGTTCAGCTCTAGCATGCTCTTTAATCAGCTTAAGTCAACTCTAAAACCATACCTGAAATTTCCTAAGTTCTATAAATTTTAAAGGTAGAAAAATCCTCAACTCTCTTAGAAGATATATAGAAACAGCTTAGCAAGACACATGCTAAAATCAGTTCTGCTTTTTGTAAGAGATCAAAAGATAACTAAGTAAATAGATTCTAGCTAATAAAACTTAAGTCTAATTAACACTGGAGTGAGAGCTCTTCCATAGTAATTTCCATTTATGCCATAAAAATCCTGAACATCATTATCAGTGTGGTACAACAGAAACCTGAGCACTTTTATGAAAGACTCAGGCATAAATTAAAAGAAGAGAAAGTTTTGTATACATTTTTAATTTAACAGCAGAGTCCTGCAAGCTTTGTTGTGATCAACTACAGGTATGCCTTTGCAATAGACAAAAAAGCATATTCAATTGCTTTAGAAAAAGCAGCTTATTTTATTGTTACAAATCTGGTAAAATATAGAAGATGCCACTAGCCAGAGCAAGGCTCAGTCTGTCTCAGTATCACTGTTTAATAATGTGCAAGTGTGCATACACAGCTCAAACAAGTGTATACATTGGCCTAAAGGCACTCAAAAGAGAGACACTAATCCTTGAAGCCAGGTGCTATGTGTTCCATCTTCTTTACCTCCTAGTTCTGGGATTCAGGGTAACATAGACAAACATGCAAACTTCATCAAGCAAAAATAAAAAACAGACCATGAGACAGAAAAATATCAGGATGCTAACTGCAGCAATCGGAGATTTGGACATGGTCAGGTGGGGGGGGGAGAACCAAAACCAACAAAAACAAACTTGGATGAAAAGCCTAGAGGACAGTAAGTACTTCGGCAAACAGAACAGGCAACCAGGACAAAACAAAAGATGGGACACAAGTTCACCTTTAACAGTAAACTCTTCTCCAGAATTGGAAATCTGTCTTTTTAAGCTTCCTTTATCTACCATAAAATACCTGTGAGACCTTCCTCTGCTTCTAAATGTCCGTGTACAAAGGCAGCTTCCTATAACCATTATCTACAGTTAGTTCAAATGACAGCAAGATGACAGACAAGATTAAATTCTGCTTCTAAAAAAACCAATGAAGTCCCAGTTTTATGCTATCACTTTATATATAAATTATATATTTAAATTATATATTTATATATTTATTTATATATCACTTTATATTCAGTTCAAAATCAATTTCCAACAGATGGAAAACCAACTAAATGCTGTATCCAGCGACTGTGACTGAGCAGAAAAGCTATTTCTCATACTAAAACTGTCAACTCAAAAGGAAAAACCTGGCATGACACAGATCTTTGTGGTGTTTGCAGTCATCCTTTGCTGATGATCACCGTATGTTAGGCATAGTTCACATATGAACAAAGAAAAAACAGACACTGAGCCTAAATACAGATGAGGAATGGAGACTCACAAGATCAAAGCTTAAGGTATTCACATGTTTTGGAGTATCCAATACTAGATTTTTTTCCAGATAATACAGATTTATGTGGAACTGTCTACAATCAAATTGAGTTTTCAGTGATTGCAGTTAGCATAAGGAATGCATAGCTTTTTGAAGGGAAAGAAAAAAGAGAAACAAAAACCTACCTCTTAAGTTGTCAAAATAAAGCCTAGGAAATGAGGAGCAAAAACTGGTGACCACCTCTGAACACTGTGGTTTAAAATTATTCAACTAAATACATGATCTTGCAGAAGACAAGAAAACGTGGCAACTCTCCAAGGTATCTTTTAAACTTTTTTTTTTTTTTTACAAAGTCTTATTTTCACTTTCAGCAATGCTAAAGATTCAAAAATTAGACATTCCTAGAATTATATGTGTTGTGTCTGTAATTCAAGCTCTCTTAATTAATTCCTCTTGTGTATATTCTGGTGAAATTGCACTACAATTTTGGTTCAGCTCAAAATTCACTTACGAAGATGACCCCTCAATCATTCCTGCGAAACAGTTTCAGAACACCTGAAACAAAAACTTGCTTCAGATAAAATTACCTGCCTGGACTCCAACAACTAATGGACATTCAAGTCCACAGAACCAGGCTAATGCTACTCTGAAATAAAATTCCTGAAGGACATGTAGTATGGATACTGTCTTTTCAGCACCACTTTAGAGTACCACCTGCTATACACAGCCATTCTGATAATAATGACACAATATTTTTCCACATTATCTTGTCCTGATGCAAAATATCTCCTCTAACTTCTTCAGTTAGCAAGACAGGAGTCTGACAGCCCTGATGAATTTCCAAATAAAGCTGGTATTATTCATTCATCAAAGCTGTAGTATGATAAAGAAAAGCAGCACATATTCAGTTATGGGTATATGAAAAGTTCATATGCTCAAGAAGACTGAAATCAGATGCAGATATTGCTAAGACTGGACTTTAAAAAAAAACATGATAATTTCTGAACCTTTGACTACCCAATACCAAGAATATGTTATCATAGGTTTGTACATAAGAACTGACAAAACCATGCAGATTGTTAACAGAAGCAGGGATAAGGAACGATCTGCAATCTTGTTCATATGCAAGAAAAATTCTGTATCTTTACCCTAGTAATGAAGTTAAACAATTCTTAAAATCACTGGGGAATCAGAAATTCTGAAAATAAAACCAACAGGATGAAAATGAACTGTTAAATCAACATTCCACATGAGTTGTATGCATAGCTTTGAGCTTCAGAAGGGAAACGTTAGATATGAAAAATGCCACTGAAAAAATAAACGCGAATAACAAGTACTAAATGGATGTTATTTATATACAGCAACAAGAGATGATGTATCAGCAGGGCTCAGAGCAAAAGTCCATATGGTAATTGTTTTACATACTCATGTAGAATGTTGCAAACTCCTCGCAGCACATTTTCCTTACATGTATGTTTCAGTTGTTAAAAATAAAAAAAAAAAACAAACAAGGAATAAACCCCAAATTTTTATCCTCAACTACCCATCTTTGATGACACAAATCAATGACCTTTTAATTTATACTGTATATAATAACCGTATCACTGAACACTTAGAATACAATAGAAGGTTTAAGGTACAATAGGAGGCTTAAGACTGGTTTTGTGTATCCAAATTTCAGTGATCTGCTTAAATCCCAGCCTCACAACTCAAGCACAACTGTAGGAGACAGGAAACTAACATTATACGAGGCAGGAATTTCTATCAACTGTACCGTCAGGGCTAGAACACAGGGATCTACAGCCTGCAGAATGCTGAATAAGCAGCTGAGGGAAAAATAAACTAAAAAAGACTGCTGTCTTTACATATATCAACCAACTTACTTTTGCCAATACACAGCAAACTAGCACATGATAGAGTATGTCAAATGCATTCTAAAAAACATAAGTAACCAATACCCAATACAAATAACACATCATTGTCAGTGGAAAACAACTTCATTTATGAAAGCAGAACAGAATCTGTGAAAAAAACAACAAACATCACCTTTTCCCATGAATGAACACACAATTAAAAAATTTAATTCAACATAGACAAAGTTTTTCTGTACTTACACTGCTGTCAGCTCAATACAACTGTTAGAAGGGGTTACACTGCTTAAAGAATGAGCAGAGGGATACATTAATGGATAACAATTGACCCCCAACATGCCAATAATAAATATTTGGGGTGGTGTTTTCATTTTGCTTTCCTTTGTTTTTAAAGAAACTGGTTTCTGGAAAACTATCAAAATTATATCAAATAGTCAAAATGACTGTCTATTAAAGCAATTTGGCAGCTGTAAGGAAGAGAAAGAGTAATCTAATAAACATGTATGTAATCTAATAAACATGCACCAAGACAATCTTTTAACCATATGTAAATTCTAGATAAGTCAGATCTGAAAAGATATATGACTCATTTCCAAAGTAGCATGCCCTAGGTGTTATAAATATTAGCAAACAAAAAACAAAGCCATTGAAGAGTTAAATGAGACCGTATACCATTAGAAACAAAGACCTTTGAATGCTGCTCTATCACACCAAGTGAAACCAATTCCCTCCAATCTCCTTAGGGATATGCTAATTTTGTACTACTATTTCCCACCTCTCCACCACCCCTCCCAAATCAAGATGTGAGGATTCTGCAGAAAACCAAAACTTTTATGAAGCAACTGAAAAGAACCATTTCAAAACAACAGCTGAAAACATCACCCTTCAAGCCATGCACATCTGCTTCTATGTCTGCACACCAGTGCAGATCACTCTCACATATTGTATAAACTTCAAAACATCTGTTACTTCTACGCTGCAAACACAACCATTAGAAACACTGAACTCTTAGTTGAAACATGAAAAATAGACCTTGCACACATACATTCCCTCTGCATTGTTAACAAAAGTATATTAGAACAGGGAGAAAAATCTACTCCAGCAATTTGGAGGGTTGTTCTGTTATTCAAGCAGGATTTGAGAGCTCTCACCATCCAACCAAACATAAAACTTGGCAAAATTAATCCTAAGGGAAAATCAGGAGCTTCAAAATTACAAATGCTACTTCCAGATCTTCCTAGAGAAAGCAAGCATATTGACAGGACACAAAACATAGAAGATTCCCAAAAGAAGTTAACATATAAACAAATAAATAGAGCTCCTCCAACACACCTTTGCTCCAGGAAGTACAGAAATAATATTTTAGTCCATAAATAATACATAAAAACCTTGGATCAATACAGATTGGAGGCCACATATAAAAACTAACAATTCTTCTAATGTATGTGGCCAAATGATAGAAGAAAATTAAAGTTTTACCCTGTAAACAGCCAAACCAATGAAACTTGGGAACATGATATGGCTTCACATTAAGACATGTAAACTTAAACAGCTACATGAGTGTTACAGTCAGTAGAGACTTAGTCAATGCTGAACTCAACTACAGGGCACCTGAACAGCTCTCCAGTTCAGGGACTGATTACATTCCTGTTAAGCAAATGGAGGTCACATAGGTCATGTAAAACAGTGGAATTAAGGTGCTTATATCTTAGCACTGGCTTCCATACAGCTGTGTTCCTGTCCCCTAGTTCTGTTAGACAATGTGTTTCCACTACTAAGCATCTAAATAAGAAACTAAGGTAAGTAATTATTTCTTTCATTGAAGTATCTTGCTTATCAGTTGCAAGGACCATTCTATAGTCTAAAATACTTGAGAGTTACATTCTTAAATATAACAAAGTTATCAAGCTATCCCCACTAACATCTCTGAAGTCAGTGACACTACATTCAAAGTTAGATTTGGCCACTGTATTAAAAAAAGTCTCAGTCTAAATATTAATGTTAATGCTCAATAAATTAAATTATTTGAGAAGAGCATAACTAATTTTTTATTTCCTCAAAAAAGTTATTTTATGAATGCAAATAATAGAACACCCAGAAAAAGTGTATTTTCTTTCACTACTTGCTCATTGTATCATAATCATAATGCATATTTTCTCACAGAGTTAAGGTCTTCAGACCAGCCCTACCTTCTATTTCCATGTGTATACAGCACCCAGTATGATGGCATCATGCATTGGGCACAACAAAACAACGAAGGAACAGCCACATGGCTGGGATGAGGACAAAGCTGATGAGTCGAGACAAAGGACAAGGAGGGATCTTCACCAATTAAGGTCCTGGGCAAAACAGACTCAACTTGGGGAAAAATAATCATTCAATCTCACCCTAATCACACCCCCCCAGGACACAGACACACCCAGAGCAGGGCTTGCAGATGTTACCCCACCCCTCCCTTCTTCCCGGGCCCCAATCCCTTGGTTCCCAGTTTCTCTCCCTCCTTCCCCCCAGCGGCACAGGGGGACAGGGGATGGGGTTTGGAGTCACTTCACAGGCTGGGGGTTCCTGCTGCTCCTGCCTCCTCAGCAAGAAGGATTCCTGACAGTCCTGCCCTGCTTCCCCACGGGGTCCCTCCCATGGCACAGAGGCCTCCACCAACCTCTCCTTCCTGAGTCCTTCCCACCAGGTCCGGAGCTGCTCCAGCCTGGGCTTCCCACAGAGTCACGGGGGCTTCGGGAACAGCCACCTCCCCTGGCCCGGGGGCTTCCACAGCTGAGCAATCAGAGCCCACTGGCAGCAAATCCTCTGGCCACAACATCCAAGTCCAGGGGCCAAGTTCCCCCCTCCTGGCACCTTCAGGGAATGTCCCACCACGTTCCTCCATGAGTGCAGGGGCACAGCTGCCATCTCGCCATGGGCTGCAGGGAAACTTCTGCTTGGGCACCTTCTGCCCCTTCCTCCTCACCAACCACCAACACTGCTCTGCCTCTCCAGCTTAGCTCTTCTTTCTTTAAGTGCTTGCTCTGCTCAGCTCTTATCTCAATTTTTTTGTATGTTGACTGCTGAGGTGCATCTCTTGTCCCTCTAATGGCTCCTTGGCTGGGTTTGGAAAAGGGGGAGCTTCTCAGCCTCCCAGCAGAGCCACTCCTGGGGTCCTTTCCCTGCTGCCAAAAAAACCACCAAACCAGAACAGCTGGGTTCTAATTCGAATGTGTAGACATAAGAGAGAAAAAAATAAATTTATTTATTTATTTATTCTAACATGTACCATTCAGAATAAAAGCAGTGTTTTCCTGTTAGGTGAAACTGCTAAAGAAACCTAACAGAAATAAGTGCACATTCTTGGTAACTGTCCAGGGGGAAGGGTAAAGAATTGTATAATATTTCTGCTGTACGAATTCTTTTTTTTCCCTCTCCCAATTCTGAACTAGCAACCACAATTAGTAAACATTTTCTGATTTGAAGTACCCCAGAGAAAAGCCTATTTGCACATACCGATAAACATTTCATCACACTGTAAGTCTATTTAAACAGTGAAATCAATGTTCAAAAAGATAAGAAGCCCAAGACAAATTTCAAGGGCAAAATTCTCTGCAATCAATGCAGAAGCCCTAGAAATAATTTCTAATTTTTTCTTACACACTGAGAAATACTGCAACAGGTTGTATTTTTTTGTGTCTAACAAAAATAAGAAAAGGAAATTGATGACTAACTTACTCCTCTTCCATAATGTTCACTAAATCTTGTGTATGTATGATGGTATCACACTCAAAATTTATCAAAATAATCTCAATTGCACCATAATACATTCGAATACCTGGTATTTTTCAGCAAAGACAAGAATAACTTACATATAAATAACATTGGGCAGACAATTCAGTTATTTCCCTTACTAAAAACATTAACTTACAAGTCAATGCCTAGCAAGGATTTTGATTGATCCTATTAAAATCTTGACTCTTGCAATAAATTAATTTATTCACAGAAACATTTGCATGGAAAAGTCACGCTAAGATTTTATAGTACTAAAATATTCTGAATGCACAACATTTCTTTTAATTTTGAAATACTTAAAATACCTTGGTACAACCTAACCCAGTACTTCTGTGTCATGCACAAATCATGTAAAACCTTCCATGTTACTTAAAAATAATTTAAATTCTACCCACCTTATTAGATTTAAAATAGACTTCATGAGACAGACACTGCAAAGTTATATTAGATGTAATTTAATTAAGCACATCAAAACATGCTAATTACTTTCAGCACTATTTTTAAATAACAGTTAAAATTATGAGATGAGTAACAAACTTGCTTGGGAAAATACAGATTCCATATTATTTTCCTTTATTTCAATGACAAATAGAACTAATTATTCTGAAATGGATGAAAGCCTGTAGTGACGTAAATAAATAAACACAGACATATTTGATAAATGTGATTTATGGAGAGCTCACATTAAGACAAATCCTTTTCATGTCTAGAACTACAACTAGTTCACACAATTTATTTCAGCACAATAATATAACAGGTAGAAATCTTCAGTTCCTGACCAAAGAATAAGATGTGGATTGTTTTTTTTCCTAATGCTGCTAAAGAGATTTTTTTTTGGTTTTGTGAAAGGAGTGAAACCAGACTAAATTCTCACAACAAAATCAGTTGCCAACCAGTAACACTTCCTTCATCTTTTAGTTCTACTAATATTGTACATTTCTCCACTATCAATGAGCATTCATTCATTTATTAAAATCCAATCACCAGGCATTTATAAAAATTAATAAAATTAGCTCCATAATGTTTCAGCTTCTGCTTGAGATAAAAGTTGTGTAATATATGTTTGTAATCTTTAACTTTAAAAACTGCTTAAGTAAAAAAAGATCATTCCCCTCCTCACCCAAAGCTACTAAAAGACTTTATCACAGTCAAAGAAATCTAATCAAGTAACATCTTCAAGTCCTAGTCTTAAGTTTACTTTTTGTATGCTTTCTCAATATTTGTAACAGCCCTTCTGTACTCAAAAGTAAGAATATACTTTAAGTGAAGCAGCTTCATTTCCTCTTCCCATGAGATGCCAATCAGCCTTTGAACTAGAAGTACTTCTCTTTCATTCATCAAGATAGTTTAACTTCAAGAAGTGCAGCTTCCCAAAATAATTACTCAGGAACTTTCTTATGCCAGGTTTTCACTGCTATTTTTTTTATTGTGCATATACACTCTTCTGGGTACTAATACTTGCAGTGAGTACACCAGGATATAAATATAATATTAATAACTTTGTAGTGATTTTATCAATACCTGTAGGAAATGCTGCCCAAGCAATAGCAGGGGATGTAGTCTGCTTTTCACCATTTCCACACTCATAACTCTCTGCTGCCTAGAAACAAAAAAAACAACATGTTACATATTTTACAAAATGCCATAAATTCCTATAAAGAGTTGAAAATAGCTAAATTTCAAAATTAAGTCATCCAAATAACATACCTCAAATCCTCCAAAGTCATCATCATCCATGTTTCAACTGGTACTAGAATATAGCAGAAATATTCATTTTAAAACAAAAACAAAACCACTAAATTGTCATATCCTCTTTACTCATAAAATAGCAACAAAAACTTTGTGAAACCAAAATTATGGTGTTAGTTTTAAAAGACTCAGGTAGACAAAATCACTGTGGTCAAACGCTAGAAGCTCAGCAGTATTAAGTAATACATGCCCCACACTGCAGGAAATGAGTATATTTCATTGGCCAGTCTAGTAAGAAAAACATGCTGACTGTATGATAAACTAGGAGTCAAAAGACAAAATGATTCTATGATTTGTACTTCAGTCACATGACAGATGGTCAGAGACCTTCACTTGGATTCAACTGCTACCTAGCTCATCTCTGTGCTCTTCATAACCTCATCACCTTCTCAATTAGAAATTAGTATTCAGTCTTCCAGTCAAGTACTTCCTTTCACAGGTTACCTGAGGTCTTCCTAATTCACATTTCTACAATAGAACAAGGGACCTAAATAAGAACTTTTTCACATAAAGGATGCAAGGGCTAGAATTGCAAGATCTCTCTTAAAGATTTTTCTTATTGATCAAAATAAACGAAAAAAACTGGGTATTTTATGAAAGAACTTGAATATCTTCAAGGGAAAAGATAAGCATTGCCTATCACTATTGTCAAATATCTTTTGAAAACTAGGATGTAGAAAAAACTTTCCAAGATAGGAAAATAGAAAGATTATACTTTAAAGCTATAACTATTGCTCTCACGTACAGCAGCCAAGTCCCCAGTACCTCAACAAAAGGTAGTGAAACCAGCATATTTCTAAATATATTTATTTTTATAATATACACATATATATTTATATACATGTATATTTTTATATTTAAGTCCAGGAAGTAGGATTTCTGACCATCAGATTCCAAAATGAAGAATTTACTTCATTAGTAATGAAGACAACTCAATTTAATGCAAGCACAAACTATTATGTACTCAGTAGTTTTCTGTTTGAGATTTAAAATATAAAAAATATTTTCCATTGTTAAGTTGCTTTTCCAAATCAGCACTGTCATTTAATCCAAAAAGATTTTCTGCTTTTCACATCTCTCTTCTTAGCTGTCTGGCAACATCAACACAAACTGCAACTTAGAAAAAGATTGTGGTGAATTTCTGGAAATTTTTCTGCTACCACAGAGGTCCTTTGCTAGGTTTCATGTAGGGGCTGATTTTGATTTTACAAACTGATCAGCATTTTTGAGTTGTTGCCCTGAATTCTGTGGCATTTTGATATATTTATAGTTAAATTGCAGTTCTTTTTACAAAAATGCAGGATAAGTTAGTCAGCTAATTAAGGTAACTGAAGATACACATGGCTGTTCAAAGGGTATGACATGTATTTTAAAAAGTAGATATTCTTATACATGAATGAAAGATCATTTTAAAAAATAGGGTCTTTATAGAGTCTCAAAATGTTTGTAGAGTCAATTGACTTCAGCTAAAATACACTATAGGCTGGGGAAACTTATAACTGTGAAAGCATATGCTCAGAAAGAGAAGAACTCAAAGAGTTTGAAGAAAATCTCCAAATTCAAGTATTAGAATAACAGAAGGGCACACCTGCAGTTTATAACCACTGCTGAAAATTGCTACCAAGACAGACTTGAAATGAAACACATCTTCCAAAGTTTAACAAATTAATTTCCAAGTTCTTATTGGGGAACTTAAGTTAAATCACCACTCTTACAGTGCAAGCAGACAGATTTGATTATGTTAAGATTATTGTCCAATATTCATAAGTGGTATAGGAGCAAATTAACTTTTTAGGGACTGCAAGGTGTTTCATTTATTTTGTGTTTTTATTTTCTGAGAAAAGAAGGTAGTTGGGTATTTTGCTCATCAGTGTTAACCTTAAGTGTTCAGACATTTATACATTCCATTAACATTCAGCTTTAATATATAACTCAAAAAAATAACACCTGAATGCACAAATTACAGCAATGGAAGCTGTATCTCGAGAACACCACTTCTGAAGCAGACAGCAATGGGCAAACAACTGAGAATGTCAATATATTCACACTACCTACTACTAAAAGCCATTCAGAACAGACTGTTAAGTTATACAGGCACTGTGAAATGTGTCATTCAAGTAGCAATCAGAGCAGTCAGCTGGAGAAGGAGAGGCTTTTGGAAGGAAATAGATAGTATGTAAGTAAAAATACCTATCACATCAACAGGTCCTACAGGTTCTACCCAAAGTTACTTCAAAGGACCACAACACGTAGCAGTTACTTCAAATGACCACAGCAGACTTTCTCCCTGGGAAGCAAGAGACATTTCTCCCATCCTCTTAGAACTTGCTATGTCTCTACTGGAAGTACCTTCCATATTCAGTACAATGTTTAAAAAGACACATTGGAGAACATGTTCAGAGGAGTGCAACAGGAATTACAGCAATTTTGGAAAAGCATGCTAGAGTGGAGTGGATTTTTTAAAACAAAATTTAAAAGGCAAACAAAAGTATCTATAGAATATAAAAAACAATCTTCTAAGAAGTGATTAACTACTTTCATTTATCATCAAGTGCAGCAATGACATAAAGCAGTGAAGGAAAGAAGCCTCTGCAGGAAAAATGTCTGTTAAATACTATTGAGGATTTCCAGGAAGTCAACATAAACCCCAAAGCTACTTATACATAAAACAGAAGGGTTTTTTTATAAGAGAAAAAGCATGTAAGGCAGAAGGAAAAATGGAGAACAACCTGTTACTGAATCCATCATCTTTGTTATTACATTTTATATGCAGTTTTCCTAAGTTTGGTAATGAACAGAAGACTATTTTGACCTAAGATTACCTTTCTCCACAAATTTTAACAGACATTTCATGGCTGTAACAGGAAGATTAATCTGTGAATTATTCCACACATCATTTAAATGGAATAAATAAGAAACACACAGCAAGCAAGTCTCAGTAGTATCATTAGGTTTTTATCGTGCCTAACGGCTAGTCCTCCAATTTCCAGTTCTTTGGAGATCCCACAGGAATTCTAGGTGAAGTGTTTCTCAGCCAGCTAGGAAGGACTGTTTGCTGTTTGTGTATGCATTCATACATGTATACACACCTCTGTTTTCGAAGACAAAGCTAAGTTTCCAGTCTGCCAGATGAAATCCTTATTTGTTTATGTGACTTGTTTGCTGTAGGCAATTTAAAAAGAAAAAAAAAAAAAAAGGGAAAGAAAAGAAAAATCAGAAAAGAATTCAAAATTAAACTGGCAAAGTTAACAAAACACACAGCAAGCAAGTCTCAGTAGTATCATTAGGTTTTTATCGTGCCTAACGGCTAGTCCTCCAATTTCCAGTTCTTTGGAGATCCCACAGGAATTCTAGGTGAAGTGTTTCTCAGCCAGCTAGGAAGGACTGTTTGCTGTTTGTGTATGCATTCATACATGTATACACACCTCTGTTTTCGAAGACAAAGCTAAGTTTCCAGTCTGCCAGATGAAATCCTTATTTGTTTATGTGACTTGTTTGCTGTAGGCAATTTAAAAAGAAAAAAAAAAAAAAAAAGGGAAAGAAAAGAAAAATCAGAAAAGAATTCAAAATTAAACTGGCAAAGTTAACATGTATCACAAGTAAGCAGGTAGCAAGTCAGGACAGAAATAATTTATTAAGTTCTGACACACACTGACATAGTGCACTTAAAAACTCAAAGGCTGATGAGTTCTTTTCAGTCAGAGTGTTAGTGCAAGAGCTCATAGTAGGAGATATCTTTCCAAAAAGATGTTTCTTCTTGCATAAAAAGAAAAGCATGTTTTCTGCAAGAAGAAGGGAACAGAGCCATATGATGTTTTAAAAACGGTTAAGAAAAAAATTAATCAGGCCTATTTTTAGCTAGGAATCTTGCAATAGCCTCCAAAAGTACGAGCATTTAGCTCTAAATAATGTTTATGTATGTAATGTTAATGTAAATAATGCTACAAATTCAACTGATACCAATGCTGAAAATATGATACAATTTCTCAATTCCAGCACTTATTCTGATGATGGAAATGCATTTCTAGCATAAACAAACAGCAGAACTAGCCTAACACCTCACACAGAACTGCAACAATTTTGGAAGCAGCTTTTTTAAATCAACCATCTATTCCAGAATGGGCAATCAGACTGTTCTTTCCTCAGACTAGGAACATTATTTGTGGCACCAGAATAGGAAAGAATACATTAAGTGCTGACAATCTTCAGAAGGGTTTAAAAAATAACACAAAAAGACAAAACAGCCCACACAGTCTTACCATGACTAAATGTGGTCTCTTAAAATATGCCTGATACTGGAATTAAGTAACTGTAAAATTGGGCAACAAGAAGTCAACCTCAAAATTACAGATTCATAGAAATTACGGTTGGAAAATACACAGTAGGTCATCCAGCCCAGGCCATTTCCAAAACATTACAGTTCTCAAGACAGTCATGTCCTAAAAGGCTTTAGAAGCTCTCCAGTCACACTCCTGTGAAAAGCAGGAAACTTTTCACAGATGACAAATATGTAAGCCACTGTTTGTATGAATCAAATCATAGAACAATTTAGGCCAGAATTCAGACCAGCAAGTCATCCAATCCAAGCTCCCTGCTCAAAGCAGGGTCAATAGAACATTTGGATGAGGTTGTTCAAGACTTCCTTCTCTATGACTGATGACAACATGCAATGAATGTATTGAAGCACAGACAGCCATGCCTATCTGAGATGCTTGCAAACTTTCCAACACAAAGGTTCTAACCATGTGCTTTCCCTCATGGCTCTTCTGCCAGAACTTCAAGCACCTCTTACCAAACTTAAAAACAGGAAAAATTTTCTTCTTTTAAACCAAGTGATACAGACTTTTCTTCTAATCTATAGAAATAACAGCTGCAGGATAAGCATTCGGGACCTTAACAACTTACAGCAGCTAATAAGCAATCAGAATTTTTTTATTACAGAATACATATTTCCTAAAGGATACATAAGCCCAAGAAAGACCAAACTG